TAGTTATACGGTTCGATTCTCCTCTAATTTCTTAAGAATTAGAGGATCTTTCAGTTCTCTTTGAATTGTGAGGATCCTCCCGTTTTCTTTTTAATCCAAACACTATTTGACAACGGCGAAGTTTTGTTGACAAACTTAAATTTCCTATCTAAGAAAGCAAAAATCTGAAATTTTCAATCAATTATTATTTATTGTTGTAATTTAGGGAGGATAAAAAGGGGTTTAAAAAAAAAAAAAAAAGTAAACAATGACTGAAGGCGTTAGTTGGACCATGGGCTCTTGCGGCCCAATATGGCTCAAAAGATCAATCCAAGTCAAGACCACTCGAAAAAGAGGGGCATATGTAATTTGTGATAAAAGAAAAGGTCATTTATGACAACTAAAAGTCCAAAAGCTCGCTCTTTTTATTGCCCCTACTAGGGTTTAGTTCATCTCTTCCATCTTCTTCCTTTGGGGCTTCGACACGGCTGCCTCCGCACTCCCTCTGTCCAGGTGAAGGTCTCTCTCTCTCTCTCTCTCTCTCTCTATGTATATTGAGCATATACGTTTATATGTGTGTTTGTATAACATTGGTGTATGTATTTATCGATTTTGCAGGTGTGTATCGGAAGAGTTGAAGAAGCAATGGATTCTGCTGTTATTACTTCTACCATCCAGAATGACGACAAGATTCATAGCGCTGTGATGCTTTTCAACCGGTGGTCCTATGACGACGTTCAAGTTCATTCTCTCTTTCTCTAGCTTTCTTTTCGTCTGATCGCTCTTTACAACTTAGTTAATTCACAGTTCTATTTTCTGCATTTCATGCTATTTTTCTCCTTGGGTTTATATTTTCTTCAGATCTATTATATTTATATCTGGTGGTAATTTGCTTTCTTTCATTTTCTTTGAGCTTATATGCATTGTATATATAAAGACTAAGCAATTTAGTTATCTGATTTGTTGAGACGAAATAATTTAGAGAATCTTTGAAAATGTGTGTAATTTTCATGTGCTATTTATGAAGGAGTGATTAGAAAAGGGAGCGAATAAAAACATGTCGAATAAAAAAAATTAAGAAATAAATGAATCATTGAAAATAAAGTACGAATGTGGATGAAAGCCCTACCAAATGGAGGTATATTTGTTGGCTAATCAATCTTTTACTAACTATAAGCAGATTGCGTTTATCTTTGTTATGCACTATATCTGCATCGTGTGGAGATCTGATGGTGTTGTTAGGCTCCTAACTTTCTGGATATTTTATTTTCTGCGTGTAATATGTTTAACATAAATTGACATTACATGGGAATCAATGAAATATTAGTGTGTGCTGTTGTGTGAAGTATCATGGAATTTTTATGATCAACTAATAATCTATTTAAAGAATTTGAAGAAGTCATTTACTACCTATAGTTTGCAAGTGTTTTGAACTTATTTGCAGTATCTCTTATTTTACATTGATTTGTGTTGTCACTGTTTTAGCTCAGTGATATCTGCTGTAGCGCTTGGTGTACCACAACTGTGTGATATGACCGTAATGTGAAGTTTATGCTTTAATGCTCAGAGAGGTTGCACTTGGGATGTTTTCTTCAGATCATTTTTCTAATGTGGGTTTGTGTTGCATTTTTTCTGCTTGTGCTCTTGTTTTGGTTACAACATGTTTGGTAAATCGTTAAAGGGTGAATTTCTTAGTTCAAGTGCTTGATTGCGATAAATAACAGCCAGACACATATATTTACACTTCGATCTCATGGTCCAAGGCTGCTACAAGTTCACTATGTCATTGTATACTATATTATAATAGTGTGAATGACCAACTTCGGTGTGAATTTTGCAATCTAAACAAATTGATTTCAAACAAAATGGCCTAGATCTATTGATTTGTGAGTTATAAAAATTGGTTGCTATAGATTTATTGTTTGCTAGGTTACACAGGTTTGACACTACTTTAAATTTCATTGCCTCAAAATTTTAATAAAATGTTTCGGCATTGTCTCTTTTTTGTAAGCGCCTGTGTTTATACCACTACATGTACCAATTTTTCATTCGTTGTTAATCTGAATTGCTGTTCTTTCTTTTTTTCTTTGCTTTTTAATTAATAAGTCATGTGGAAACATTCGCCATAACTGTTAGTGTGAAACCTGTTCGATTTTTCATAATTACTATTGTTGGACTAATTATCTAATACTCTGACAGACATGGCTAGCTAATAATCTGACAAGTTGGTTGTAGTCAGTGTTACGTTTGATACAATTACAATGACCCACGTTCTAGATTTGGCAACCCCAATGAGTTGGGTTCTTGATCCAGATCACTTTAATGTCCAAACCCCAAATTGTAATGCAAACTCTAGATTGATTCGCTTTGGAACATGTATCAAAGATGTTAAATAAATATTAATTACGTGTGCATGGATGTATAGTTATATATAACTTTAGATAATAGGAAATCGAGCAAAAAAATAGTAATTGACTGTGTTTATGAATTTACTATTATATATAATTTCATATACTAGCTAAAGCAATCTAGATAAAGGTTTCAGAAAGAACTACGACTTGAGCACCATACCAATGAAGCCTAGATTGGGATTTTTGTAAAGAGAAGTATGCATGGGTGTGCAAGTGAAGGGATTTAATTACTTTGCTTCCATATTGCCTAAGTATTGTTTTTTAGCAGTCCGAAAACATGGATTAATGGGTTCATGCAGTTGTATTTCTCTATTTGAGTTTTCATTAGTTGATCCATTTCTTATCCTTCGTAATGATGTTTAACTTTATTTTCCTGAAAAAGATCCATATTTGTGTGTGATTGATCTATTGTCCATACTTTAGCCCCACTAACTTACTTGATCAAGCAGTGTTTATGATGTTCTACTTGATCCCATGTTACTATACATCAAATTGCTCATCCCTCCTTTAAATTTTGCAGAGTTGAGTATTATTCTAACCACCTTTGTGGTCTTGTACAGGTCAGTGACATATCCGTGCAGGATTACATTACTGCAACAGCATCAAACCATCCAACCTATATGCCTCACACTGCTGGCAGGTACCAAGCCAAGCGGTTTAGGAAGTCCCAGTGCCCCATTGTGGAGAGGCTGACCAATTCCCTTATGATGCATGGGCGGAACAATGGCAAAAAGTTGATGGCTGTTCGCATTGTTAAGCATGCTATGGAGATCATCCATTTGTTGACTGATCTGAATCCCATCCAAGTCATCGTTGATGCTGTTATCAACAGGTATTCAGATAATCAATCGTTCCGTTTTTTAAATGGTTTATTATTCTGTTGGAAGTTGAAACACACATTCATGAGTGATCTATTGACTTCATGGGAATGGTAGTGCTTAGAGCACCATTTTCTTGTTCTCTGTGGCAACTAATTTCATTTCTTATTTGATCTAGTGGACCTAGGGAAGATGCAACACGAATCGGTTCTGCTGGTGTTGTGAGGCGTCAGGCTGTTGATATTTCTCCCCTTCGACGTGTTAACCAGGCAATATATCTCCTTACAACTGGTGCCCGTGAGAGTGCTTTCAGGAACATAAAGACCATTGCTGAGTGCCTTGCTGATGAGCTCATTAATGCTGCCAAGGGTTCTTCCAACAGGTAAAGGAGTGGGTTTTTTGTACTCTTTTTCTGGTGGTCGAGACTTCATTACATTGATCTCTACCTGGCACTTCTCATCCTGTTGCTTATTTAATCCATGCCGTTTTTTGATTTTGTTTTATCCTTATGCTTTCAAATTTCTTCAAGATAAAATTTGTTCATGCATATTTTCTGCCTATATGCAGCTACGCAATTAAGAAGAAAGATGAGATAGAGAGGGTTGCAAAGGCCAACCGTTGAGAGTGGATCTTTTAGTGGATGGAGTGGAGCAGCTTCATATTAGGACAATTCTACACGATCTGATCTCTCTTTTTTCTTCTCGTAGCTATAGGAACTTCTCAACAAAGCAGTTATGGTGGCGATCTATTTGCGGTTTTATAAGAATTAATGTTTCCCCCTATTCTATGTTTTTCCCTATGGAATTATTTTGGATTCGCCAGAGATATTGAATGGATGATTTCATTGTCTTCTACTCCTTTAAAATGGAATATTTAGGCTGATCAGTTGCTTGTTGGTCGTTACATGTTCATAACACTGACTCTGAATTGTCCCCTCTAAAAATGACTATTTTTATGCAGTAAGTTTTATTTAAATTGTAATAAAAAAATGTCAACAACAAACATGTTTATATTTACGTCCAAAATTAAATCATAAATATAGAGAAAAGAAAAAATAATTTAAGAATCGGTTAGAGTGGGGGGTGAATGTTGGTGGTGGGTTTTGGGTGATGATAGTTGTACTGGTAACTATGAGTGATGGTCATAAAAATTCATTTGCGACGATATTATCATCCTCTTTTTTTCTTATTTATGATCTAATTTTATGTCTATAAATAAATTCTATTGTTCTCTGGCCTTATTTGTTCATGGGAATCAGCCAAAGGGGATTTCTCAATTAATGATGAGACTCTATTCCTAACTTGGTGGTTAAACTCTACTGCGGTGACGATACTGTAGGGAGGTCATACGGAAAAATAACTCGACGTGGTCGCAGAAAAATCACCTATTTTTTCTTCACGGTCATCAAAATAATCCAATAAGTGTATTTGTTAATGCAAACGACACTCATTCATGTGATTATATCATAAATGGTTACTAAATTCATTGATTTTTTTGAATATATTAATTGATATACTTAAACATTGGGTGTTTTGAAAAGCCAGAGGTTACCAATAATTTTTTAAAAAAATATAGGGGGAACAATGATAATTTTTAGAATTTGAGGCGGGCCACAGTTCCGTCCCTGATTAGAGTTAAGGAGGATTTGGAGGTAAGACGACAAAAAGAAGAAATAAAAAGTCCGTGCATGACACGTCTGATCGATTGATTGTCAAACATCATTATGATTTGGAGATTTTTCAGACACATTTTTTGATTTTTCATTTTGTGGACACAGGTGATGAGAACAAATTTCGAACAAATAATATCGAAGCTTTTGATCTCATTTCAGGATGACGACCCTGTCGTGCAGGATGCATCTATTTGTGCAATTGAGATGTTGGCTTTGACTTTGGGTGAACAGTTCCAAGTCGGATGTCACCTCGTGCTGCCTGCATTAGCTGAAGTGATGAATGACTTCCCAAATCGAAAAATGCGGGTTAGTAGGCTTATTTATGTACTTTTACTCTGGCGTTTGAACTTGTTTGGGACAAGACACTGAATCTTGCTAACCTTTTCAACAAATTAATGGACTCTAAACATTTATGAGGACATCTACACTTTGGTTGTTTTCTTTTAACATAAATGAGAAGCATTTTTCTTCTTTCTGTTGGGAGGATGTGCCATGTTCGTAAAATACTTATTGATATTTTTGATTTAAATCATGCAATTAATTGTAAAACAGTAACACATAAAACTGATCAAATTACATAATGGAACGGTTTAAGAATTTGATCAGGGCTAATGTTTGATATTATGTCTTTAAGACAGATTTCACCTCCACTATGGTGATTATGGGTCCTTTAACATTTCCCTCCCAGGATACAATGATCACACACACAAAAACACTGTAATATGTATGTTCAATGAACCAAAAATTGTATTTTATACTCTGAGAAATGGACACTACATTCTAATGACAAAAATAATGTATGCAATGAGCGGTAATCACGAATTTTATAAGTGTTTTGTAAAAAGTTCTTTTATAACAACAAAAAATTCACATCAATTCTTTGTTATTTGTATGATGCAGGGCAGTGCTGCTTCAGCAATTCTAGTTGTCAGTGAATATTACACTCGGGACAATCGAATGGAACACTTGGATGGGAGTATAAGGAGTTGTCTTATAGTATCAAAGGTATATCATCATTTAACATTGCAAGTACAATATCCCAACAAGCCCATTGTCAAATAATTCATATGCATGTATGTTACAAAAAACAACAAACAAATATAAGTTTTTTGGACCCTGTATGGCTAAATCTTACACTCATTATCTCAATTTAAAATTGGCATCTTTTTTTTTCCTATTTTTTGTATTTAAATGTACTTGTATGAGTTTTAAAACTTAGATACTAATTTTCAGAATTTTTGTTTTTTAAAATATATATATTTTAATTTGCACATAACAATCTATCACTCTCTTTATCAGTTTTCAACTTCCTCAAAAGTCTACTGTGATTAAATTTTCAACCCCATTCAAACTCCTCACTACTGTTGTCTACCTTTTCTCATCAAGTAATAGATTTGTCTAAAGTTGAATGATTTAATAATAATGTATTGATCAAATTAAATCATTTCATATGGCTTATATAGCTATTCTCACAAAACTATTTTAAATTTAAATTTTGCATTTTCCTTAATTTAGCAAAATAATAAGTAATTTTTCAAGTTTGGAGTCGGTGTTGGTGAGAATACGTGGGGATGATAGAATTGTGACAAGAGAGATTGAAAATACCGTGCTATCGCTTTTTATCCACGCTTGTATGTAAATTGCATGCAATTGAATTACTTGTGGGCATCGTACATAGAACCGCTTTAATTAGTTAATTAGCTGGCATGATGGAGCTTATATGTCGTTCATTTTTAATTTAGGAAGTCCAGGAGTTCGTGATGGGAATTCGTTTTACAGAGTGGGGGATGTTTCGGTGGCTTAAGATGTTATCAGAGGTACTACTAGAGACCATTTTTTCTTGGTGGTTAGCCTTTGATTTCTTCAATCATAATTGAGTAATGTGTATAGTATATAGTATATTAACTGCCAGAGCATTAGAGGAACAGATTGTCGAAGTTATCTTTTCATATATCTGCTTATTTTGACTACATAATAGATAAATCCCGTATGGGTCCAACTTTGGAGGAACGAAGAGCAAAACGGAGAGCGGGATTTTTCCCCTTACCTGGAAATTCTCATGTCTCCTGTGTTTGCTGCTGCTGCTGCTCAACTTGACCCCTTGTTGATGACGCAGCAGTTCGACCTTATAATTTTAAAGAAATTAGAATAGCTGCCGCTTCAGGTACTAGACCAATTGGAATTATTAGGGTAAATTACATTTTACTTCCTTAAATTATTACTCTTATTTCACTTTGTATCTTCAATTATAAAATTTCTCATATTACACCTTAAAGTGTTAATTTTATTTTATATCACTCCAATTGATAACAAATGTCAATTTTTTTACGGTAAATGTGCATGAGAATAGTTTGTTCTGTCAATAAGCAATTGCCTATTTCACATGTTCAGGTCAAAATTCAAGAAAAATATATATCTATGACTTTGCCCGTCCTATGCTTCAAATTTTCTTCCTCTGACCGACTTTTTTTTTTTTTTTTTCCAGTAACCATTTTAGTTGCAACTAAAGTAAAATAAAGTGGTACTAGATACTTGACGAAATACTCTTTGGGGTTTTCCTCCCTATTTTGAAAGATTTTTAAGTTTGTTGTTATCTATTAGAGTGATATGAAATAAAATTGATACTTTAAGATATATTGTGAAAAATTTTATAGTTAAGAGTATAAAATAAAATAAGGGTAATAGTTTAGAGGGATAAAATGTAATTTACTCAAATTATTATTTTCTGTTAGCATGTGTATGTGTAGATCTTAGTCAATTTTCTTATGCTATCTTTTTACTTTGTGCAATAGCCATGCCAAAGATACTGAATTCAGCTACAGAAGTTGTAGAATACAGCGACCCACAGGACTATGATCAAAATATGCAATATGTCGAGACATTATCTGATATGGTCATAGGTGCTTTAGAGGAAGCTTCAGATTTGGTGAGTTGTGCCTATCTTACCTGATTTTTTGGGCTTAATAATGTCAAATAATATATTTTTTTTCACTTATTTTTTTTAGAGTTTTAAATAGTGGCGCTTTTACTCTTATATTGACCTGTTTGAACTGCATTTGATTTCAGGAACCTGACGAGGATGTTCGTTTTGACATATTGTATGCTTTGAATGACTGCGTACAATAGTTAAGTTTTGTTCAGGATTTCTTATAAAATTCAAAAAGCACTTCTTAAACAAGTATTTTTTAAAAGTGTTTTATAAAAAAGTGCTTTCATTAAACAAACATGTTTGAATGCTTAAACAGAAAAACATTAAAATAAAAAATGTGTGGTGGGGGTGGCGGCAGCATGGTGAGGTGGTGGCGGCAGTGATGAAATATTTTATAGAGAAGTGATTTTAAAGAAGTAGAAATTATTTTATTTTATTTTTTTAAACTTTTGCTTTGCAGTGTCGAATTGCACTCTATCAGTACCATTCATCTTGTGTTGTAATAATTTTAATTTCTACACTCTTTTTTTTCTGGTGCTGATTTTATAACTTCAAAAATTTCATATTTTTTTTGGAGTTGTTTAGCTTGGGACTTGTATGCTTCTAAATACTTTATTTTGTTCAGATTTATGGGTCTCTTAGTACAAAAATTAGTTTGACGTAAATTATAATTCGAGAAAATGGTGGCCACCGTTTAATTTTGTTGGACAAATATAGATTTAAATTATATCAATACTAGTAAAATATTTACCGCAAAATTATATAGCTCACAAATAAATATATAATTGAAAAAGAATTGAGATAAAAGCAAATAAAGTGATCACCTTCGATTTGGAGAGGTGTATAAAACGTTGTCCCAAAGCTCTGGTGGCCTCCCTACGTGCACATATTATTGGCAATGAAATCTTTAAGATACAATCCCAAGCTAGCCACCAATCTTCACATCGGGCACATACGATAGAGATAAATTATCAAGTCTTGATCTTGTTGCCTAAAATATCGAGAATATAAAAAAATACATAATATATAATAATAACAAATTGGCAAAAGAGAAAGAGATATAACCGATGAGATAAGTGTAGGCTTGTCAATGGATTGGATATGGATCGGATTTTGTCATATCCGAATCCGATTATAATTTATGTGATCTGACCCGACCCGATTATCCATCGGATTTGAGATTTATAATTCATATTCGAATTCATTAACTTTCAGATATCCAGTCCAAAATTTTGATCTAATCTGTTTATATACAAAGTAAAATTAACCTACAAATATCTCACAAATTCAACTCTGTACAACCAAAAAATTATAATGCTTACTCATTTGAAA